TCTACTGGGTGGTTGCCCTGCACGCTTAATAAACAAACTACAGCTAGTTCAAAACGCCGCAGCTCGAGTTCTTACCAGAACCAGGAAATATGACCATATTAGCCCGGTTCTGTCAACACTGCATTGGCTCCCTATTAAACATCATATACATTTTAAAATATTGTTGATTACCTACAAAGCACTAAATGGCTTAGCTCCGCAGTACTTGAGTGAACTTTTAAAACATTATAGTCCTTCACGTCTATTGCGATCTCAAAATTCCGGCCAGTTGATAATACCTAGAATATCTAAATCGACTGCTGGCGGTAGATCCTTTTCCTATTTAGCACCAAAACTTTGGAACAGTCTTCCTACCATTGTCCGGGAAGCAGACACACTCTGTCAGTTCAAAGCTAGACTAAAAACACATCTCTTTGACCTAGCATACACATAATACACTATAGACTTCTATAATTCAATGTTAGGCTGCATAGATTAGGTCAGCCGGAACTGGGAACACTTCCCTTAAATCTTGATGTACTCGCTACATCATAAGAAGAATGGCATCTACGCTAACTTTAGTGTCTTTGTTTATCCCGAGGTTTTCCCGCAGCCTGCCGGATCCAGGCCGTGTCCAGATCTGACGAAGGAGATTCGCCTGGACCCGATGACAATGCAGTGCTGAAGTATCCACTATCCTCTCCCTATGGAGGATCCCTTTCCCACTCTACAGATAAAGCGTTGGTGAAAATCCGGTTCGCGTACCTCGAAGTGATAAAATAAAATTCTGTATCAATTTATAGGCAAGACAAGTAGTTTGTTTAGGCATGGTTTGTTGGGAAATTACAAACCTGCGCACACATATTCAAACGAATATAACTATAGAATCAATTCCTAATGCGCATGTGAACGGCATCAGGTCACAGGTTCGCGTTTAAAGTCTGTTTAGAGAGAACGCCGTCGTCTTAGTGGCCCCTAATTTAATAACAAATGATAATTTTGCGGGAAGTGAATCAATCAAAACCAACTTTAGCTGGAAATAACATTATTCAAAAATCGCTATAAAGCCAAAACAATCTCTGTTACCGTAAATTATATGTTTATCTCTGTAAAGCTGCTTTGAAACAATCTCCATTGTTAAAAGCGCTGTATAAATGAAGATGACTTGACTTGACAAACACATTTCAGCAGAACCGACAGCTGTGCTTCGAGCCGCTCTGAGATCTGAGCGTCACACACAGGAAGTGAACACAAGGACTTCCTGTCACTCATGATGAAAAATGGCCGTTTCTCAAGAACAGACTTATATCCTCATAGTCCTCCTCAGTGAGAACTGTCTGAATATCAGCAGGAGGTTTTTTCTTTCCTCGGAGCGTGAGCATTTCTCTCGTTTCACACACACACACACACACACAGCGCGAGCACAGATCTGTGACCGCGGTCGATAAAAGAGTGTAAGAGTGTGTCGTGGGTCGGTCATGTTCACTCTCCAGTGCAGGGCAGGAGTGACCCGGATGTTTGGTTGGTCATAAGCCTAAAAAAACCTTTATGGCAATCATGTCTTGATTAATTAGCTTTTTCGAGATATTTGCTAGCAGATTTACACCGTCAATCATTATCTAAATCTACACACACACTGATGATGTGTGTGTGTACCTCGGTGTTGTGTTGCTCTTTCTTCTTCTTGAGCTGATCGTGATACTCCACCAGCAGCGCTCTGAGCTCTGACTTCAGCTTCTGCTTGAGTTCAGTCATCTGATCTCCTGCATCTGCTCCTTCAGCTCCAGACCTGCACGACCACACACACACACACACACACACATCAACAAGACACATTCAACTTCACAACACGTGTTTCTCTGCTCGAAAGACAAGTGGATGCAAACTAGACTTCTTAACTAGATCAATGCTAAGACCAGCATTGATCACATTTTTGTCTTGTTCATTAAAATAAATCTGAAATAAAATACAATACAAATATTGGATTATGAAGTTCAACTTAAAACTTAAAACTAAGTTTAAACTAAAATAGTAGTAAAATTACTAAAACTGACATAAAAAATAAATTAAAGCAAAGTAGAAATATTTGAAGAAAAAAATAAAAATAAAAATGACTAAAGCACATTAAAAAACTAAAAGTTAAATTAAAATGAAAACTGAAAATATTTAAAAAAAAATTATATTTAAAAATATATTGTTATATTTTTTATTTTTAATGTTTTCCATTTACATTTTACTTACAATTTCAGTAATTTAGTTGTGTTCTTTTAAAAAAAAAATTTTTATGTCTATATAATTTTATTTTATTTTTTGTTATTTTAGTACATCAAAGTTAAACTAAATGAAAATGAGAAATATTGCTTTGCAATTAGCTGAAATAAAACAAGTTTAAGTTTTCTTATACTTTATTTTAATTAATGTTTATTTTATGTCAAGCGACAAAAATGTTTATTTGTTTTAGTTTTACGTTCAGTTAGACGAAATAACCCTGAACTGAATTTTCAGCCATCTTTAAAATATTGTCTTTGAACGTTCTCCGTATATTTCTATGGCATCGCTGTCGAAGAGTAATTCGCTGCTGAAGTGGATTTACTTATTGTAGAGTTAATGAAAGTTATCCTGAGCATTGTAGAGTTAATGAAAGTTATCCTGAGCATTGTAGAATTAATGAAAGTTATCCTGAGCATTGTAGAATTAATGAAAGTTATCCTGAGCATTGTAGAGTTAATGAAAGTTATCCTGAGCATTGTAGAATTAATGAAAGTTATCCTGAGCATTGTAGAGTTAATGAAAGTTATCCTGAGCATTGTAGAATTAATGAAAGTTATCCTGAGCATTGTAGAGTTAATGAAAGTTATCCTGAGCATTGTAGAATTAACGAAAGTTATCCTGAGCATTGTAGAGTTAATGAAAGTTATCCTGAGCATTGTAGAGTTAATGAAAGTTATCCTGAGCAATGTAGAATTAACGAAAGTTATCCTGAGCATTGTAGAGTTAATGAAAGTTATCCTGAGCATTGTAGAGTTAATGAAAGTTATCCCGAGCATTGTAGAGTTAATGAAAGTTATTCTGAGCATTGTAGAGTTAATGAAAGTTATCCTGAGCATTGTGGAGTTAATGAAAGTTATCCTGAGCATTGTGGAGTTAATGAAAGTTATCCTGAGCATTGTGGAGTTAATGAAAGTTATCCTGAGCATTGTGGAGTTAATGAAAGTTATCCTGAGCATTGTAGAGTTAATGAAAGTTATCCTGAGCATTGTAGAGTTAATGAAAGTTATCCTGAGCATTGCGGAGTTAATGAAAGTTATCCTGAGCATTGCGGAGTTAATGAAAGTTATCCTGAGCATTGTGGAGTTAATGAAAGTTATCCTGAGCATTGTAGAGTTAATGAAAGTTATCCTGAGCATTGTGGAGTTAATGAAAGTTATCCTGAGCATTGTAGAGTTAATGAAAGTTATCCTAAGCATTGTAGAGTTAATGAAAGTTATCCTGAGCATTGTAGAGTTAATGAAAGTTATCCTGAGCATTGTAGAGTTACTGAAAGTTATCCTGAGCATTGCGGAGTTAATGAAAGTTATCCTGAGCATTGTAGAGTTAATGAAAGTTATCCTGACCATTGTAGAGTTAATGAAAGTTATCCTGAGCATTGTAGAGTTAATGAAAGTTATCCTGAGCATTGTAGAGTTAATGAAAGTTATCCTGAGCATTGTAGAGTTAATGAAAGTTATCCTGAGCATTGTAGAATTAACTAAAGTTATCCTGAGCATTGTAGAGTTAATGAAAGTTATCCTGAGCATTGTAGAGTTATTGAAAGTTATCCTGAGCATTGTAGAATTAACGAAAGTTATCCTGAGCATTGTAGAATTAACGAAAGTTATCCTGAGCATTGTAGAGTTAATGAAAGTTATCCTGAGCATTGTAGAATTAACGAAAGTTATCCTGAGCATTGTAGAGTTAATGAAAGTTATCCTGAGCATTGTAGAGTTAATGAAAGTTATCCTGAGCATTGTAGAATTAACGAAAGTTATCCTGAGCATTGTAGAGTTAATGAAAGTTATCCTGAGCATTGTGGAGTTAATGAAAGTTATCCTGAGCATTGTAGAGTTAAGGAAAGTTATCCTGAGCATTGTAGAGTTAATGAAAGTTATCCTGAGCATTGTAGAGTTAATGAAAGTTATCCTGAGCATTGTAGAGTTAATGAAAGTTATCCTGAGCATTGTAGAGTTAATGAAAGTTATCCTGAGCATTGTGGAGTTAATGAAAGTTATCCTGAGCATTGTAGAGTTAATGAAAGTTATCCTGAGCATTGTAGAGTTAATGAAAGTTATCCTGAGCATTGTAGAATTAACGAAAGTTATCCTGAGCATTGTAGAGTTAATGAAAGTTATCCTGAGCATTGTAGAGTTAATGAAAGTTATCCTGAGCATTGTAGAGTTAATGAAAGTTATCCTGAGCATTGTAGAGTTAATGAAAGTTATCCTGAGCATTGTAGAGTTAATGAAAGTTATCCTGAGCATTGTAGAGTTAATGAAAGTTATCCTGAGCATTGTGGAGTTAATGAAAGTTATCCTGAGCATTGTGGAGTTAATAAAAGTTATCCTGAGCATTGTAGAGTTAATGAAAGTTATCCTGAGCATTGTGGAGTTAATGAAAGTTATCCTAAGCATTGTAGAGTTAATGAAAGTTATCCTGAGCATTGTAGAATTAATGAAAGTTATCCTGAGCATTGTAGAATTAATGAAAGTTATCCTGAGCATTGTAGAGTTAATGAAAGTTATCCTGAGCATTGTAGAGTTAATGAAAGTTATCCTGAGCATTGTAGAGTTAATGAAAGTTATCCTGAGCATTGTGGAGTTAATGAAAGTTATCCTGAGCATTGTAGAGTTAATGAAAGTTATCCTCCCTGAGCATTGTAGAGTTAATGAAAGTTATCCTGAGCATTGTAGAATTAACGAAAGTTATCCTGAGCATTGTAGAGTTAATGAAAGTTATCCTGAGCATTGTAGAGTTAATGAAAGTTATCCTGAGCATTGCGGAGTTAATGAAAGTTATCCTGAGCATTGTGGAGTTAATAAAAGTTATCCTGAGCATTGTAGAGTTAATGAAAGTTATCCTGAGCATTGTGGAGTTAATGAAAGTTATCCTAAGCATTGTAGAGTTAATGAAAGTTATCCTGAGCATTGTAGAGTTAATGAAAGTTATCCTAAGCATTGTAGAGTTAATGAAAGTTATCCTGAGCATTGTGGAGTTAATGAAAGTTATCCCAAGCATTGTAGAGTTAATGAAAGTTATCCTGAGCATTGTGGAGTTAATGAAAGTTATCCTAAGCATTGTAGAGTTAATGAAAGTTATCCTGAGCATTGTAGAATTAATGAAAGTTATCCTGAGCATTGTAGAGTTAATGAAAGTTATCCTGAGCATTGTAGAGTTAATGAAAGTTATCCTGAGCATTGTAGAGTTAATGAAAGTTATCCTGAGCATTGTAGAGTTAATGAAAGTTATCCTGAGCATTGTAGAGTTAATGAAAGTTATCCTGAGCATTGTAGAGTTAATGAAAGTTATCCTGAGCATTGTAGAGTTAATGAAAGTTATCCTGAGCATTGTAGAGTTAATGAAAGTTATCCTGAGCATTGTAGAGTTAATGAAAGTTATCCTGAGCATTGTAGAGTTAATGAAAGTTATCCTGAGCATTGTAGAGTTAATGAAAGTTATCCTGAGCATTGTAGAGTTAATGAAAGTTATCCTGAGCATTGTAGAGTTAATGAAAGTTATCCTGAGCATTGTAGAGTTAATGAAAGTTATCCTGAGCATTGCAGAGTTAATGAAAGTTATCCTGAGCATTGTAGAGTTAATGAAAGTTATCCTGAGCATTGTAGAGTTAATGAAAGTTATCCTGGGCATTGTAGAGTTAATGAAAGTTATCCTGAGCATTGCAGAGTTAATGAAAGTTATCCTGAGCATTGTAGAGTTAATGAAAGTTATCCTGAGCATTGTAGAGTTAATGAAAGTTATCCTGAGCATTGTAGAGTTAATGAAAGTTATCCTGAGCATTGTAGAGTTAATGAAAGTTATCCTGAGCATTGTAATGTTTGAAGCGGATGTCATAACAAATGTCAGTTCGATCAGGAAGATTTTAAAACGAGTGGTTAATAAATGCGTAAGATCTTTCCTTCATGCTGTGGAAATACAAACCGACAGAAGAGAAAAGGGGCGGAGCTACAAACTCTATGTAAATAATGCTATAATAACAGTGTGTTATTGTGCATTTACTTCTTGGCTGTGCTCTTCTTCTTCAAGGCTTTGAACTGCTCGCTGTATTTCTGAAGGAGTTCTTCTCGTTTCTTCTGAAACTTCTTCTCCATGTCCTTCAGGTCTTTCTCTTGTTTCTTGGTGACCTTCAGGAAGTTCTTGTGTTGCTGCAGTTCTTCACAGGTCACAGTGGAGGGATCTGAAGATAATAAACCTGACAGTGAACGTGAACACAGCCGATGACAGTTATCAGATTGTGTTAATGCAGAGGTATTCCTATAACTAACACACGAGCAACTATGAAGTCTGTTTGTTAACGCCATGCCTGTTTCTTTGGCTATTTACATGGCAAAAAACAATAGTTATTATAATGCATTCATTCAAAAAGAATCTATATAAGGCATTTAAGATCCATTTTTTCCCTACAAATTTTACAACTTAATTTGGATTGAACTTTTCAAGGGTATCAAAAAAAAAAAAAAAAAACTTTTCTCAGAGGACTAGAAATGTTACATTTATAAAATAAAATATCTTTGATGTAATTATCAAGTTATCAAGCCGCACATCTTTATGAATTTATATATATGTTTTATGTAAATCTGATAAAGGTTAGTTACACTAACCATAATTACACCATGTGGTTATTACTACAGCATTAAATATAAATACTATGTCATTTTTTGATGATTTATGAAGGTTTAGATGTAGGGACTGCTGTTTTTGGTAGTTACTACGGTAACATTGATATCATGTCCAAACTCTCACCCTGGACACCTAAAGTAGCGAGTCATTGTGATGAAGTTATAACGTATGGTGTCATGTGACACAGGCTCACCTGATGGATCAGAAGGGGTTTCCTCACTGGACTCTTTGGTCTCTGTGACAACATTATCTGGAGCTGCAGCAGGTTCTGGATCCGGATTTTCTTCTGGTGTCGGTTCTGGTTCCGGTTCTGGTTCTGCTTTTTCCTCTGGTTTGAGTTCTGGTTCGGGTTCTGGCTCTGGTTTGGGTTCGGGTTCAGGTTGTGGCTCTGGTTTGGGTTCTGTTTCTGTTTTGGGTTCTGGTTTGGGTTCAGGTTCTGGTTCTGGTTCAGGTTTAGGTGGTTCTGGAGCTGGAGTCGCAGTGGGATTCTCTTCAGGCTTTTCACTGGGAGCCTCCGCTGGAGGAGCAACGTCGCCCTCTACTGGTTTCTCTACAGCTTCAGATGAGACAGAAGCTTCTGACAGATAGACAGACAGACAGACAGACAGACAGACAGACAGACAGACAGAC